CAGATTCCAGAGACAGCCAGGAGGGGTGCAGGGAAGGTGGGCGCCAGTTCTGTTTCCGGGAGGGTTGGGCAGGGAAGGACGGGACTGGACGTTAACTGGTGATTTTAAGTGAAAGGATCCTTAGTTGGCCCCCTCTTCACTTTTCCCAGCTGAGCAGTTGAAGCTCAGAGATGTACAGGGGTGCTTCCCAGGCCCAAGTGCTGGAAGGACCCCACGGAGTCCCAGGACCCTTGGGTGGCTCTGAAGGCAGCTCCAAAGCCTGAGTCCAACAGCTGTAATTCCGCCGGCTGGGGGCTGGGCCTCCTCTCCCCTCCGCCCGCATCAGCCTCCTGCAGCACGGGACCGTGAACTGGCAGCTTAAGACAATAGAAATTTACTCTCTCATGGATCTGGCAGGCTGAAGTCCAAACTCGAGGTGTCAGCAGGGCCATGCTCCCTCTGAGGGCATGAGGAGGGGAGGCCCTGTTTCTCGTAAACCTTCCTCTTAGCTTCTGGCGTTGCTAGCAGCCCTGGCGTTCCTGGGCCTGCAGATGCACCACGCCCACTTCTGCCTCTGCTGTCACGTGGCCTTGTCCCTGTGTCTGTGTCTTCATGTTGCCTTCTCATAAGGACAACAGTCATTGGATTAGGCCCCCTACCACTTCAATATGACCTCATCTTAAACAGGATACCTATTTCTAAATAAGGTCGCATTCATGGGTACTAGACATTAGGACTTGAATACATTTGGGGGGAACACAATTCAACAACCCACAGCAAACGCCCACACCCAGGCACAGCCTCTGACAAGGGCTGACATTTCTGGAGCAGGGTGCTGAGTCCAGGCTCCCCTCGTGGGGACAGGAACAAAGCCTGAGGTGGGACTTTGTACTCAGCCATCTTCTGAGTGAGCTGTGTCAGGTGACCGTGGGCAGTGGGCATGGGAACCGGGCCTTTCCCACCTGCCACATTCAGAGCCGTGCGCCTGGGAAACTGTCCTCAAGGGAGGAGAGGCAGCAGGTGTGCCAGGCAGCAGCAGATGGGCCGTCACCCCTAGCAGCCTGGCCTAAATCGCCACTCCTGTGTCTTTCCATTTGGCTTCTCAACCTCCCTTCCCTTCTGCTGGTGATGCAGAAACCTAAGGAGCCAGAGGAGGAGTGGGTGGACGATGCATTCCTGGGAGTCCCCTTCCAGGCTGGGCCAGAGTGCGAAATGCACACAGCAAGCCTGCCCACTTGCGCCCTGCTGCGTCCCCTTGTAACCAAGGGGCCAGAACTTTAGAGGGAGAGGCATCAGCCCAAAGGCCCAGACTGAAGGGACCAAGATCAACCTCTGGGCTGCTGGGTGTTGGCACCAGCTTAGCACAATTTCAGCATTACTGACATTTTGTGCTGGATAACTCTTTGTTGTGGGGCGCTGTCCTGTGCACTACAGAATATTCAGCAGCTTTCCTGGCCTCCACATTCTAGATGCCAATGGCATTGCTCCCTCAAGTCATGACAACCAAAAATGTCTCCAGACATTTGCCAAATGTCCCCCGGGTTTCGTGGTATCAGGGCTGGTGTCTGTGAGTCTCTTGCATGTTGCCTTACAGTCATAAGACAGCTGCCACAGCTCCAAACATCCCACCCATGTTCAGAGCAGAAACAGCAACGAGAGGCTAGTACCAGCTACCACTGTTTCTTTTTGCAGAAAAGTGGAAGCATTCACAGAGTCCAACAGATTTCCACTTGGTTCTCCCTTCACTTAACCTCTCTGAGGTCTCACCTGTCCAGCCCTCAAAGCAGGGAAACAAGGCCTCTTCTAAAGGCAGGACAAGATGGGATCATGGATTGGCCAGGCATTTGCTGCTCTTGGTGGCCTCAGGGAAGTCATTCTGAGCCTCAGTTCTCTCCCTCTTAAAACTAGGCTAATAGTACCTACCTGTGACAAAGGCTGTTTTGAGGCTAAATCATCTAATACACACGTAAGTCACCCAGTTCAGGACCTGGCCCAAAACAGGCACTCTAAAACAAATGACCTTTATTATTACCGGTATGTGAGGATTAGCCACATTAAAGTGCCCAGCACCCAAAGGATACTGGATCAATAATGACGGTGGCTGGACCTCCTGCCTCTGAGCTTTTGCATTCTCTGTTCCCTGTGCTGTTCCCTATGCTCCAATGGCCCTGGCTCTCAACCACTTGCTCTTACCAATTCCCAGAGGCCTTACCTGACTCTAAAGAACATCTGTCACTCTTTGCTCCTGTCTCAGCACCTGCCTGGTAAAATTTACCTAAATATAAATAAAATATTCATTCATTTTTCTCTCTATTCCTTCTAAAATAAAAGCTCGGCGTGGTGGCGGGTGTGGGGGTGGGCGTTACGTTATTCCGTTTCCTTCTTGAAGTATTCCCGGGGCTTAGAACCCCGGCCTGGCACCTAATAAATCATTGTGTGTCGGATGAATGGCTGATTCTCAGGCAAAAGTTGGTGACACGTGGGGGTATGGGGCCACACGACGTGAGGACGGATTGGTGACGCAGAAACCTAGGGGCCAGGGGATGAACAAGTGAACAAACCGTACCAGGGCATCCGCTTTTTAAAACACTGATGCACCCTGCCCTCCTCCAAGCCAGGCGGGAGAGCGAGGTGTGCGCAGCAAGCCTGCCCGTCCGGGGCGGACAAACGCCCCCAACCTGGGTCCTGCCCGTCCCACAGCGGGCGGCGGCCCCCAGGGCCTTCCCCTCCGGACTCCCGTTGCGCCAGCACGTGCTCCGCGGACGCCCGGCGCCCAGCGCGCAGCCGCACTCCCGTGGGCGCCCCTCCCCGCGCGGCCGCTCCGCCGGGATGGGGCGGGGGGCGGGGCGAGGCGGGGCTGGCCCGGGCGGCGCTGGGACTTGTAGGCCAAGAGCCTGGGCTGCCTGGGCCGTGGGGTGAGCAAGGTGCACCGCCCACCCTGCCCCTACCCCTAGCGGTCCTGTCACTGAAGGGGAAACTGAGGCTCGGTGAAAGGACCCAGCTTGCCCAAGATCACGCGGCCGGACAGTGGCCGCCCTCCCTGGTCCAATAAGGTCACATTTATCAAGTTTCAAGGGTGTTCTGAGGGCCCCTTGTCTGGTGGAGAGCACTCCTTGCCTCCTTCCGTTCATCGTGCATTCACTCAACAAACATTTCCCGGGGGCCCTCTGCTTGCTAGTCCCTACAGCTTGAGCAAAACATCCAAGCTCCAGCTCGGCAGGGCAGAGAGACCGTAAACCCCCTTTTCCGTAAACAAAACTTGGGGAAGTGAGAAGCATATCGAAAGAAGAGAAGAGCAGGATAAAGGGCAAGTGATGAGACATCACCCCAAGGCAGAAGTCTGCCTGGAGAGCTGGCAAGACAAGGGGGAAATGAGGGGAGACAGAAACATGCATCCCCAGAGGGCCCTCTGAAGACTTGGGGTTCCACTTCTACTGTGAAATGGGTGGGAGTTTGGGGGAAGAAAAAATCAGACCCGATGGCTGCCTAGTGGAGAGTAGGGTTGGGGTTCCAGGGCTTGAGACGGCTGGTCTGGGCCTGGAGTCAAGTGCTGCCTGACAGCGAAGGTGCCAGATAAATGCCTGAAAGACCAGTAAACCTTCTGCCTGCCTCCTTTTCCCCCTCAGCCCCCCAGAAGCTGGGGTCACCAGGAGCAACCCCACTTAGAGCAGTGTGAACTAAAAAAAAATAGGCAATCTATGAGTCAAAAATTATGTTTTATTTTGCAGACTTTCTGAGGACTCAAGCCCAGGAGGCACCTCAGATTGCTCTGAGGGGCGGTTCTGAAGAGGTAAGGTTTTGCAACAAAAACCAACATCAAAAGATTACTGTTAATTAAAGAAAAACCAGACCTCTCAGATTAGTGAATTTACTGCTTTTCTACATATGGGAAGATGCAAGAGGCTGGGCTCCTTGAAAGCCTTCCTTTGAAATGCACCTTAACTATCAAGAGCCAGTACCCTGTTTTTTTCCCATCCTGAATCCCCTCAGGGTGTATAGTCAGGGTGGCTGCAGTGGCTGATGGCTTGATGGTTGCAACATCCTTTATTTACTGTTACAGCATGTGACCTTTTTTGTCCACAGCAGAGTCCCTACTGCACCGGACAACGCAATAGTGCCTGGACTTGCAGAGGGCTTGAGGCTCTCAGAGCCAGACCCTCTACCCCCAGGTGACAGTGGGATGTGGGTGCCAGGGCCCTCTGCACAGAAAAGCCTGTCTTGGTTCATGCTCCCCTGTCAGATGTGACATTCCCAGTAACTTGACACGTTCTGTAACCTGTCCTGCCTGTCGTGACGTTCAGAGACCCGGGGTGGGGTGGGGGAGCTGTTTCTATGGCTGGGGAAGGGGACAGAGGGAACAGAGCCCCCGAGGGTCGCCCACAGAGATAGAGGGATCCCTGGCAAGGAATTGGACTTTTGAGGCGGCCAGAACTTCTTCCCTTGCCCCAGTCACCTCAGAGGGGCCTCTGGGGCCACTCTGGCCCCTGCTGGATGGCAGCACCCTGATTTGTTTCTTTCTGAATAGTATATTGTATGCTTACCTGTTTAATTGTGTGTCCCACTCATAGAAGCTCGGTGGGGCTAGAGTGTGTTTTGGGCATTCCTGCCTCCCCACGCCTTGATAAATATTCGTCCAACGAATTATATTTATGTACAAAAACAAAAATCATTTCACTATTAATGTATGTTGCTGTACCCTAAGTAGCCCTGGAAGAAATGTCTACTCACTAAACATGATCTGAATCGTTTACATCTCGTTCACTAAACTGTGCGCTCCACGAGGGCAGGGGCCCGGAACACCGCGAGCACGTAGTAAGTCCCCCGGAAACACCCGGATGCACCCCTTCCCCCCGTTGCGCGCCCAGCCCTAGGACTTCCCCGGGCACGTGGGGCGCGGCAGGGTGGGGCCCGGACTACGCTTCCCGGCGGCCCTCGCGCGCCCTAGGCGGGGCGGGACTGAGGCTGTGGGCGTGGCCGGTGACAGGGGCGGGGCCTGGCTGCCGGGGGCGGGGCCGACTACAAAGCCCGGGGGCGGGCGCCGGGGCGCAGAGCGGTCGCAACGCCGGCTGGAGCGCAGCGCGGCGCAACGCAGCTCGGCACGCACGGCGGGACCGACCCGCGAGTGGACGGGCCCGGCGGCTGGACCGGCGCCCCTGCTGCCCCGCTCGCTCGCCGTCGTCCCCAATGAGCGCGGCCCCACGCGGCCCGGGTCCGTAGGCGGCGGGGCGCCCCCCATGCTGCTGCAGCCCGCGCCGTGCGCCCCAAGCGCGGGCTTCCCGCGGCCCCCGGCCGCCCCCGGCGCCATGCACGGCTCGCAGAAGGACACCACGTTCACCAAGATCTTCGTGGGCGGCCTGCCCTACCACACCACCGACGCCTCTCTCAGGAAGTACTTCGAGGGCTTCGGGGACATCGAGGAGGCCGTGGTCATCACCGACCGCCAGACGGGCAAGTCCCGCGGCTACGGCTTCGTAAGTGGCCCCACGGCCGGGCGCACCCCGCCTCGCACTTATCGCGGCCGGGGCGCTGAGTCAACCAGCGGGCGGGCGCACGCCAGCCCGGACGCCTCCCGCCGGCGTCGGCACCTGCTGCCCCTTCTATGGCTCCTGCCGGTCCTGCCCACCCCCCACCCTACCCCTCCGCCCCGAGGCCCCGTCTCCCTGCCCCCACCCCACGCCTGGTTTAAAAGAGAGAGCCGCTGTGTTCAATTAGGACTCCTGAGTTTGTGGAGAGGTTTTGGGGACAGACGGCTACTCTCGAGACTTCCTGGTTCTACAGGCGAGCTAGCGAGGGAGCAGGTCTTCACCTTAGGGCGCTTAAGAGCCCTTAAGAAACCCCCGTTTTATTTTCCAACAGCTCTCTTCGACGCTCGAAACACTCTTAAGTACAAAATGGCCTGAAAACACGTCTCCTACTTCCATTCTAACTACAGTGTCCCCAAACCCCCTTCCATGAGGAAATGTGTGGTCCCCATTGGCCTAGTAGGCCAGGCGGGGGCCCCTGCCACCCTTCAGGGTTGCCCTGTCTTCCCAGGGGATTTTTTCTGTCCTTGAAGCAATATTTTCTAGCACTTGAACTTGGAGGGAGGAGCTGGGATCTGAGGGCAGCTTTGTGGGAGGGCCCCAGTCTGGGATCTGAAGGGACTGGGCTAGGCATCCTGGGTAACTAAGGGGCACCCAAGATGGGGAGAAGTGAGCGCCCCATACCAGGGCCGGGCTCTCTCTCTGCTACCCCCACCGGCAAGGGAAGCCCCTGATGCATCTGTGCTCCTCCAGGTGACTATGGCCGACCGGGCGGCAGCTGAGAGGGCTTGCAAAGACCCAAACCCCAACATCGACGGCCGCAAGGCCAACGTGAACCTGGCATATCTGGGTGCCAAGCCACGGAGCCTCCAGACGGGTGAGAGCCTGTGTTTTCTTTCTCTGGCGCTTCTGGTTGCTATATTCAGCCTTGGTATCTGTCGGGTGGATAAGGCCCCCCCTCCCCACTCCGCCCTCCTCCAGGAGTGGCAGTTGGCTGTCATGTGCTCACAGAGCCATCACAGGGCAGTCATCCCCCAGCTTGGAAGTTGAACCCCGTCCCCTTGCCGCGTATGCTGGTGGGACAGGGCGACGAGGACGCGTCACTCAGTTGTCAGCTGTCCTCGCCAGAGGGAGGAAGTTGGTCCCAAGGGCTGCTGCCACCTGGGCCCCTTGGCCCCCTTTGGCTAGGAGTTTTGGGGTTCCTGTGGAGGTGGCCTGTGAGGGGAGAGGAAGCTGATTATCCCTTTGGATTAGAGGTGGATGGCTGAGTGGTTTTGTTTTCCTTGCTGAGGCGGGCCTATAACTGACCTCTCATTCTAGGCTTTGCCATCGGTGTTCAGCAGCTGCACCCCACCTTGATTCAGCGGACTTACGGGTGAGTGGCCGTGGCTGGCTGGGGATGGGGCCACACAGTCCTTGGAGACCAGGCCAGAGGCCATGGGCTTCTTGGGTCTCCAGTGCAGGTGCCCACCAGGCTGAGGGAGGCTCACCCTGGGCCCGCCAACCCTATCGCTTTGGTTGTGCTCTTTGCAGCCATTTTTCTGTGTCTCAGAATCGTCACTTGCTCCAAACTTTCAGAAGTGTGATTGCGTTTTGGGAGTGGGAGGAGACAGGCTGGAAGAAGGGGGAGAAGGCAGACTGCATTTCTCTGCACCCTCCCCGCCCCTCGCCATGAGTTATGGAGCCTGTGCCCTGGGTTCAGACCTCTGCTTCTCCTTGCTGGTTGTGTGACTGCCTCACCTGTGAAATGGGTTTATAACTGCACCTCTGAGCTCTGTGGGCAGAGGCCTGGCACGGGCCTGGAAGTGCTTGCCAGCTAGGGGGCCAGGCCCTTCTCAGGGTGCCCCCTGACCTGCTCCAGTGCCCGACAGATGGCGACAGCAGGTCACCGCCAGCCGGTCCGATGTTTGCGTAGCTGCAGCAGGTGAGACGGGCATAGGGCCAGATGTCCCCGCCCAAGTGGGCCTGGCCTGTAGGCCTTTTGTCTGATGTGCTTTGGGGCCGCGTGTCCCACCCTCCACCATCGGAAAAGGGCCTCCCCCTCTTTTTTAGAAACATTTAACGAAGCCTGGCAGCTGCCTGGGGAAGGACACAAACTTCAGGGGCACAAAGGAGCCTGCCACGCCGCCTGCCTTCCCAGCTCCGGGATTGATGTCGGCTGTGCGCCCCAGTGCAGGGAGCCTGTTGACGGGGGTGGGAGTTTGTTCTGGGTGGTGGAGGGCACAGTTATAAAACAGGCAGCCCCTTTCCGAAGGTTAGAACTTTCTAAGCTATCGGACCAAATCTGAGACCCTGCATTTTGTGTTGAAAGCCGCAAGTGTGTACGTGTGTGTGCACCTTCCCCAGAGAGAGGCATTATTTGAGGAGCCCCCTGGCTCACTGGGACAGTGTGGACCAGGGACTGGAGCAGACTGGGAGCCGGGCTTGCGTGGCCTGAGCAATTCAACTGGATGACTGAAGAGTTGCTGCGTGCCCGTGATTCGGTCCTCACCCTGACAGGCAGCATCTGTGGCTGCACAGTGGCTCCCACGTGGGTCGGAGGATGTGTGTGAACACAGCTTCTGGTCTGTCCTGGCATTAAGCCTGGAGGGCGGCCGGGGCAGGTGGTTCTGGGTTTCCTTCTCGCCCTAGGATCTGCTTCATCTGGGTCTGCAGGCATCTTGGAAGGTGTTTGGGGACACCCTCATCTTCCTGCTGTCATTCCAGGTTCTTCCTTTTTGGGTTCAGGCCACACAGAGAGGGTGGTCCTTGTTTTCCACAGCCCTCGCTCTGTTTCCCCAGGACAGAGGCTGGGACAGGGGTTGATGCTGAGATCTGAGCATGAGCCTCAAACATGTGCAGCTCTTTCCTGCTTGAAACGTGATGGTCTCTTCCTGCTCGAATCTGGGCTCCGTTCCGACCCATCACGGTTGCCTCTGGGACTTGCGTAACCATCAGCGCTTGGCCTCTGGAGCCTACAGACGGGGTTCAGATCCTGACTGTCACTTACTGGTGGGTCCATCTTGGCAAGAGACATCCTATTCCTGAGCCTGGAGTTTTCCTCATCTGGAAAGTGGGGGTAATGACCACCTAACGACTGGTGGGGCCAGGTGCTCCATGCCCCCCAAATTCTCTCCTGTCCTCACAGCAGTCCTCTGAGGTTGGGACTCATGTCATCCCTGCTTCATAGATGTGGAAACTGTGACAAAGAAAGGTGCGTAGCCTGTCCCTGGTGGCTGGAGTGATGGGATTTGAACCCACATGGGCTGGCTCTCCAACACATGTCTCAGCGGCTGCTCTCCGGAGCAGTGGGTAGGAAGGACACCCCGACTGTTCTCGTGGTCCTCAGAGCGCCACCCTCGTGATGGTAGTCGAGGTCAGTCGCAGATCTTACTGCTCTGTGCCCCCGACTGGGGTGGCAGCGTTTCATAACTGAATCTGCTGGCCGGCCATTTAATACCTGTGATGATGCAGAGGCCTCCAGCTCTGCTTGCTGGTTGCCAAGGGGTGGAGACCCAAACAGGGACAAAGGGTCAGAGGGACTGTCCAGCCCTTCGTCTCCAGTGGCTGGTGGACCAAAGCCTGTCAGAGTAGGGCAGCCTCCCAGCCTCCCACCAGGCCTCGCTGAGGTCCAGGGGCAGAGGGTGGCCAGGCCGGGCGGCCGGGGTCAGCTGTCTTCACCCAGAGCCCGCCTGCCTGGCCGGAGAGTTGGACCGTCAGCGTCCCTTTTGTCTTTGCAAACAATCAGGCCCCGGGAGCACGGCCGGGCCTGACTCAGCGGTCAGTTTTGTCGGCTCCGGGCTGGCAGCGAGGCCAGGCCTGCCGCTGGTTGGCCGAGGGCATGGTGGGAGCCGTGGCTTGGGCAGCTCAGAGTTTGCAAACCTGTTAACCCCTATCCTGCCTGGCAGAGCTTCTCCCAGACTCTGGCCCCCGATCCATGTGCCTTGGACAGCTCTGGAGATTCCACAGCCCCGCTTTTGGGCAAGGCCACCGTGGAATCCTCGCCTGGCTGGGTCATCAACATCAGTGTGGAAAGATTTGCCAAAGAACTTTTATGGTCTGTGATTTTTGCTTGGATTCCTCGCCCCCAGCTTTTGTTTTTACAAGAGGAACAGGATTTTTCAGGACCTAACTCAACCTGGACATTTTCATCACGTAACTGTACCTGGGGCTGAGGCCTGGATTTGGAGAAGGCTTAGCAAGTGGCAAGTGGCTCAGTGACAGGGGGAGACGCTAAGGCCATGGACCCTCCAGCAGAGCAGCCCTTTGCTGTCAGGGTGGAGCAGACAGTCTGCGGGCAGGAGGGAGGCAGGTGTCCAGGCAGAGCATCGGGCCTGGCTCAGAAGGGGCCTCTGGCTGTCAGAGCTCTCCATGCTGCGGCCTAAGGCCTGCCAGGAGCCGAGGTTTGTCCTGGGCCTGGCTGCACTTGGAGCCTCTCCCTGGGTTATTTTTGAAGGGCCAGCTGCTTCTCTGGGCATAACACCCACCAGCCCCTGTTTCTAAGGGGGCCTTGCTGGGGGCGCCACACCCATTCACCACCAGCCCCATTCAGTGCCAGGTGCAGGGCCAAGCCCCAGGGGCCCAGACAGCAGGGCAGGGTCCCAGGGCTGCTGGATGCCAGGTTAGCCTTGTACTGGAGCAAGGCCCCCTTGCTGCATGGGCTCAGGGCCATGCCCCTTCTCCCTGAGCTTCTCTCCCCTTCTGTGTGGTGGGGACCATGTTGGTGCCTCCCTGCGGGGCTGACTGGGGGCTGGTGTGCGCCTGTCTGCAGAGCCGGTCCACGGGGACCTGGCGCACGGGAAGACAGGGATGTACCAGTGACTCATTTCACAGCAGCCCTGCGATACGGTCTGTTGCCCCCTCCGCCTGTGCAGGCACTGGGTGAGGAGAAACTGCCTGAGCGGAGCTCACACAGTAGGTGAGGGAGCCTGAGTCAGGGGCCCCAACAGCCTCCTTCCTTCCATGAGGCCTCTGACCAACTCTTGGACAAGTCAGAGCCAGGACCCCTGGGACCCTCCCCCCCAGGCACGTGCATGCCCCGTTTAACCTATAGTTTCAGGGACCCTGCACCCTCTGTGTGAAGGTCCCCAGTGCCCAGGTTGAGACCTGCTGTCCTCGCCGTCACCAGCTTGTGGGTGGTGTGTGCACCCCCGGGGGTCCTGGCCCAGCGCTTGGGTCCACTGAGTGGGGCTGGTGGTGAATGGGTGTGGTGCCCCCAGCAAGGCCCCCTTAGAAACAGGGAGGGAGTGGGGCTGGGGAATGCCAGGAAGATGTCTGCTCCCCTGAAAGAAAGAGCACGTGGGGCTGGGCAGAAGGGAAGGAGCTCTTCCCAGAGTCCTTAATTCATGAAGTTTTTATTGAGCACCTGCTGTATGCCAGGCCCTGTGCCTGGAATACTTTGAATAAGAAACATACAGTTGGTTCTCTGTCTTGCTTTATGGTGGGGACGCCCAGACATTAAAACGGTATCTGTGCACATGAGGGCCCCAGGCAGCAGTGGGTGCAGCTGAACAGGGCAGCTGGCTGGGGGTGGGCCTCGTGGGGCGGGACAGTCCTGCGTCGTGAGTGTAACGGTGGTGGATGATTCGTGTGTATGGCAGAGCGTCATAGACTTACACACGAGGACACCCCGGAAAATGGTGAAATCTGACCAAGGCCCAGGGCCTTGCTAATAGGCACGTGCCAGTGTGGGGTTCCCGGATTGGACGTCATCCCTGGGGGCCGCTGCAGGGCGGCACATGGGGCCTCTCTGTACTATATTTGCACTTTCCTGGGATTCTATCATATGTTAGTGATAGGAAGTAAGTAAAGCCAGGGGGAGTTGTAGTGCCCTGCGTGGGGGTCAGCGTGCGGGGGGTCAGCACCTTGCAGGTGCTGAGGTCAGAGCCCGAGGCTGGGGGTTGCTGAGTGGAAGCCGGCGCCCTCCCCGGGTGGCATCACGGGGCTTGTTTTTACTTTCAGGGTGTCTGGGGTGGCCCTGCCCCCTCCCCGCAGCACAGCTTCCTGTTTGGCACCAGTGGAGCGAGGCGGGGGCTGGTGTGGTCCTCCCCGGCGGGCGGCCCGTGCACACCTGTTGTTTGTCCCCGTCTGTCTGCTGTAACAGAAACTGGCCTCTGGGGCGGTTCTTGGGTTCCTGTCCAAGGATGAGCTCCTCGCTTGGCCCCACTGGCCCTGGCAGGAGGGGCCCCTTGTGCTGAGGGCTGGAGGGCCTCATCCAGAAGCCTCCAGCCAAGGAGAGAAGCCCGACCACACATAGGCTGATGCGGGCGTCCAACTCAGCCCCACGGGTGTGTCCCAGAGCAGGGAGCACAGGGGGCCCCCAGGTGGGCCGACCGGCCTGCCTCTTCACGCGGCAGTGGAAGGCGGTGAGCCTGGAGGCCCCTCAGCTTGTCTGTGTGAC